AGGGAAGGTCTTGCGCAAGTGGGGACTACGTTCACGCTCCTTTTCCCCCATCCCGCCCCAGATCGCCCCGGCAGAAGGTCCCGAGGCCAGCGAGCGGATGGTCATCATCACGGGGCCGCCTGAGGCTCAGTTCAAGGTGCGCTGGGTGGGGGCTGTGGGTGGGGGGACACACTAAGGGACAAGTCAAGAGCGTCCCTGTGGTCACCACTGTGCTGCCAGCCTGGCTTGGCCTCCCTCAGCTCCAGGGCAGCTCTTTGCTGGGTACCATGGTTTTGATGCTGCTGGACATGGGGACATCATCACCTTTGGGGATGGAGAGGCACAGCGGGCGCTGCCTGATGGTTTTCCTTCCCGTCTGTCTCCTCCCCAGGCCCAGGGGCGAATATTTGGGAAGCTGAAAGAGGAAAACTTCTTTAACCCAAAAGAAGAAGTGAAGCTTGAAGCCCACATCAAGGTGCCTTCCTTCGCCGCCGGCCGCGTGATAGGCAAAGGTGGCAAGACGGTAGGTGGTGGTACCCCGGGGACACAGAGTTGGACATCACCCATCACCCCTGCCCAGCCCAGGGGGACAAATGCTCAGTGGTTTCAGTGATGTCTTGACCCTCAGCCCCCATGTCCTGGTGGTGGTTCTCATTGGTCCCAAGGGAGGAGGGGGGCACAGAGGGTGCCTGGTGCCGTGGTGACACCGACAGCGGAAGATTTTTGGCTCTTCCACAACAAAACCCTCTTGTGGTTCCCTCCAGGTGAACGAACTGCAAAACTTAACCAGCGCAGAAGTCATTGTGCCACGAGACCAAACCCCGGACGAGAACGAGGAGGTCATCGTTAAAATCATTGGGCATTTCTTTGCCAGCCAGGTACGGTTTGGCCGTGGCTTTACCCGATATTCCCCGGCCGCTTTCGTCCACCGAGGAAAGGCGCGGGGCTGGCTGAGCCCGGCACCACCCGAGCATCCCGCCGCTCTTCTTTTGGGTGGTCCCTGTGCCCCCAGGACTCACTGAGGGTGTTTCGGCAGCTCCCCCCGGCTGTGCGAGCACTGAAATTAAAAATTGGCTCCATTTAGCTAAAAATACGTGTTTTGGATGCCGTGCAGAGCGGCACCCGGGGTGCGAATGGACTCCTCGGTGGCGGCAAAGCCACCCACATCCCACCTGGGTGCATCTACTATAACCTTGGCTCGAGCAGGATGGTGGCCCCCAGAAAAATTCATGCTCTCGCGAGGAGCGATGGAGGAAGCACAAGTTAAA